AGTGCCAGGAATGAGACACTGCCCCGTCAGCTGACCAAGGACAATACTTTGAGGTACACTTTTATAGACAGGCACAAACAAGTTACACATCGCTCCTGATGTATCAGGTTGCCACCTCCTGTTGTTTAGTTACCATCCATTACCTTGTACATGGGGTTTCAATCACTATCTATCATGCTGTAAGATTAGACTGTGTCCTAAACCTAAGTCGGTATGCCTGTTATTTGTAGGGAGGAAGTTGGTATCAAGATGTTTATTCATAAAAGAATTTTACAATCCCTTGAAATGTTTATTGCCTGAGCCTAGCACCATTAGTGATTTATACCATAACCCAACTGATATCAAATTCTATTAGCAAAGCCTGCATCTTGCTCAGAGCTTAACCTTGCTTTTGAGCAAAGACTTGACTACTGTTTCTAAACCTCGGGCCTTGTACTAGGCCTGTGATCCATGTTATGTTTCAGGCCCTCATCTTACTACAGCTGATTCAGAGCTATTTGAATCACTTGGTAAGCTAGCTGGCATGAACAAATAATGTGTTCTAGATGGAATACTAAAAAAGTTATTCATTTAGGAACAAAGAATTTAGGTTATCCTCACATGTAGAAGGGATTCTATTCTGGGAAGCTGGGACTCGGAAAGAGATTTAGGAGTGAGATATTGGGCTAAAATGATCCTTGGCTACATGAGCAGGGGAATCTCCAGGAGGAATAGAGAGATCTTTCTCTCTTTATTTAGCACTATATCACTATGTTGGGAAATGATGATATTTTTATGAACTTGCTGAATAGTATAAGCCTCAGTGGCACTCCTGATAGAATCCCAGTAGAAACATTCCGGCTATGTCTAGACTGGCCCCTTCTTTGGAATAGGCATGCTAATTTCGAACTTTGGAATTGGGAAATCCGTCGGAAGATGGGAATAGGTGAGAAAGGTGGGATCACTTATTGGTTGTCTGCCATGTTTATTCTGTCTTGAAAGTAGGAATAAGGGATCTTCCGGAAAAGGGCTTATTTTCTGCAAGATCCTGTCTAGACTGGTGCTTTTCTCCAGCAAACCCCCGAGCTAAAAACAAGCGGCAGCCATGTTCATGCAAATGCCGCGGGGGATATTTAAATCCCCCACAGCATTTGCAATTCCGAAGTGTCTCATTAGCATCCCTTTTACGGAAAAGGGTGCCAGTGTAGATACAGCCTTAAAGTTCTGGCCTTCCTGGACAGGAATATATTTATCAAGTTACTTTCATGTCACTTTTCTACTGTACAAAGAATTGATGTCCGAAAAGCAAGCTATTCCGATGTGTCAGAAAGATAGAAAATATAGCAAAAGACCGCCTTGGCTTAACCACGAGATCTTGAATGATCTAAAAATAAAAAAGGAGTCATATAAAAATGGAAAGTAGGACAAATTACAAAGGATGAATATAGGCAAACAGCACAGGAATGCAGGGGCAAGATTAGAAAGGCAAAGGCACAGAATGAGCTCAAACTAGCTACGAGAATAAAGGGAAACAAGAAGATGTTTTATAAATACATTAGAAGCGAGAGGAAGACCAAGGAGAGGGTAGGCCCACTGGTCAGTGAAGAGGGAGAAACAGTAACAGGAAACTTGGAAATGACAGAGATGCTCAATGACTTCTTTGTTTCGGTCTTTACCGAGAAGTCTGTAGGAATGCCTAACATAGTGAATGCTAGTGGAAAGGGGGTAATTTTAGAAGATAAAATAAAAAAAGAACAAGTTAAAAATCACCTAGAAAAGTTAGATGCCTGCAAGTCACCAGGGCCTGATGAAATGCATCCTAGAATACTCAAGGAGCTGATAGAGGAGGTATCTGAGCCTCTAGCTATCATCTTTGGAAAATCACGGGAGACAGCAGAGATTTCATAGGACTGGAAAAGGGCAAATATAGTGCCCATTTATAAAAAGGGAAATAAGAACAACCCAGGAAACTACAGACCAGTTACTTTAACTTCTGTGCCAGGGAAGAAAATGGGGCAAGTAATTAAGGAAATCATCTGTAAACACTTGGAAAGTGGCAAGGTGAGAGGGAACAGCCAGCATGGATTTGTAAAGAACAAATCATGTCAAACCAATCTGATAGCTTTCTTTAATAGGATAACGAGTCTTGTGGATAAAGGAGAATCGGTGGATGTGGTATACTTAGACTTTAGTAAGGCGTTTGATACGGTCTCACAT